GGAGCGGTGTCATGGAAGTCTTCTAAGCAAACGTGTATTGCTAGATCCACGATGGAGTCCGAGTTTATATCCTTGGACAAAGCCGGGGAAGAAGCTGAATGACTTAGGAATTTCTTTGAAGATATTCCATGCTGGACAAAACCGGTGCCCGCTGTAATGATACATTGTGATAATCAATCGGCAATTGGAAGGGCACAAAGTAGCTTGTACAATAGTAAGTCTCGACATATACATCGAAGGCATAATACAATAAGACAAATGATGTCGAGTGGGGTTATTTCGGTTGACTACGTGAAGTCAAAGGAAAACCTAGTGGATCCGCTTACTAAAGGCATTAATCGAGATCAAATGTACAAGTTGGTTAGGGGAATGGGATTAAAATCCACAACATAAGAATAGTCTTAGCAGTAACCCAACCTTGAGAATCGAAGATCCCGAAACCTTGGTTCAATGGGAAAACTAAGTTTTGACAGTTCAGTGAAACACTTGAAAGTTTCACCCATTGCCAAGAACCGTCAAGTGTTAAAATCTGCCTAAGTGGTGAGGTTAAGTCAAGGACTTTTAATGATTCCTATACCTACGGGTGGAGTAAGACAGAATACTTTTTATAGGAGAATCACCTTTGTAAGTGAGAAGTAGATTGGCCGCTTCAACGAACACTTTCTAAACCGAGATATGGTCCAAGGCCGAAATGGACACAACGTGAGAACAAGAAATTGTTAGAGCTGTTATTGTGTGAGTATTATTGTCTTGATGCACGCAAACAGCCGGTAAGTTCAAAGCATCGCGCTACTAACCGGCTAGTGTATCCGATAGTATTTCACTGAGGAAGATTCAAAGCCACGAGCTATCTATCCTGATGCAATGATGGTTCGCTGGAACTCTCAAGTATTGCATACATGCATTAATTTCATTCATGTAGGGGATTGTAAGAAAAAATTGGTGTTGTACCAATTTAACGATTCTATTTTTCGTAAGTAGAATACTTAGAAAAGTCTCAAAACCTTTTGAAGGTGAATGAGAAATTAATTCTAAGTGTTGTATTTTAATTAATTGAATTTAAACAACTCAAAAGGTTGTAGGGTTCATAAACATTATATTTTAATAAATGTTTGGATAAACTAAACGAGCCATAAATATGCATTATGTATGCCAGAATTGTAGAGGGGCTCGTTGGGGACAAGTAGGAAAAAACGGAACTCGATTCCGAGTCCGTATGAGCTCGTACGAGCCCGCGGCGCACGGGCGCGCAACTGGCTGCGGAAATAGAAGGGTTGCAATCCTTGGTGACCATAAGGTATCTTTTGGCCACTAGATACATCCGTTCTTGTTCGGGCACGTCCCAAAAGGTGTCTTTTGACACTTAAACCTCTTGGAGGTGTCTCCTTACATCCATAAATACCCACTAACATGAAATCATTTAAGACATCAAATTATTCCACAACCTTAGCATCCTTTTTACAAAGTTCATATTCATCTTGTGTTCTTTGTGTTCTTTCCTATCTTGAGAGTTCCGAAACTTAAGTATTGTTCGCCGAAGGTTTGTGTATTTGAGTTACCACTATACACAAATCAAAAGTCGTTGTATCTTGGAGGCGTTAGCCGTGAACCGTGGGTAATATACGGGGCTATTTCGTCTTAAGGAGAGCGTCTTACGTGCCTCGACTTTGTTCCTTTTACCAAAATTCCTTCTATTTCTTAAGCCATTTTCTTGAAATTCACATACAAAAACAGAAATTATAAACTACCATTCTCTGAAACCCCAATTTCAGAAACAAGTATTAGAAGCCAAAAACCAATCTACAGAGCAAAAAAAAAAAATTCATGATTGTACTCAACGCACATAAACCAGTCCACAAACCACAATAAGCATCACTTTACCCCACATTACACCATAAAATTTCTCATAATGAAGTGATAAAAAAAACTCATAATCAGCAAATGAAAACAATCCACAGTACATTGAAAAAAAAAAAAAATCTAGTAAAAAAGCATACCTTGAAAAGATGAGGACCCAGAAAACTGAGGTCATGGACGAAACTACCACAAGCACAGTAACTTGAAATTCGCGAAAAGGACAGCAGAACAAGAGTTTTATAGTGTTTTCAAACTCGAGCTTTTTTTTTTTT